TATGTGTGTGTGTGTGTATATATACATATATATGTATATGTATGTATATGTATATATATACATATATATACTGCCAAAAGTATATATATGTATACATATACATATATATAACGTCCTTGTAATCTGTTCAACATCACAACAGTTTCTGTGGCATGTTTCCGGAGCAGGAAACAAAATTTAACCGCCACATGTTGTTCTCTTAAATTGGCCATCACACAAAAAAATGAGGTTCAAGCAAACTGCTTTTACAAAAAAAATTCACTGAGCAGAGAGAACATTCCAAAGCACTGCCAACTGGGTGCACTAACTCAGAGTTGCTGAATGTTCACCTAGTGGGAAAACGCATACTACAAAAATTTTGCTCTACCCAGAGAAATCCCGGGTTGTTTTTTTTTTTTTTGGGGGGGGGTACCACTTGTATGTCCCTGTCTGTTTTAGAGGCATCATTATTAATTTATTGGGGAATATTATACATCAAAAACCATTTGCTTGGTTTTGTTTTCAGTTTAGAAACAAATGCCCTGGCTCAGGACAACTGGGGCTGGGCTGGCCCTGGATGCTGGGCTTACCTCAGGACTGGGGTCAGGGTCTCACACCCTCCAGGTGATGTCTGGTTGTGATTTGGGACCTGATGGGCATCTCCTCCGTGGGTACCGCCAATATGCCTATGATGGTGCCGACTACATCGCCTTGAATGAGGATTTGCGCTCCTGGACAGCGGCGGACATGGCTGCTCGGATCACCCAGCGTAAATGGGAGGAGGAAGGTGTGGCGGAGCTCCGAAGGGCTTATGTGGAGGGTATCTGTGTGTACTGGCTCCAGAGACACCTGGCGAATGGAAAGGAGGTGCTGCAGAGAGCAGGTAAGATGGGTTAGAGCCCTCCGAACCCTCTCCTTGACCTGGGGCTGTGTAGCAGTACAATGCCACCACTCAGAATGAGGGGTGTGAGAAGCACAAATACCAGGATCATATACTTCCGCCCCGCCCCCCCCCCACCCATGGGTGTGGAGAAAGAGGAGTTAACCAGGATTTCCAAATCCGATACCAGAATGACTTGCCCAGAGGAGCCCTCTTTTGCCTCAGACACTGAAGGCTTCCACTCTCTGAGAGGGAAGGGGAGATGATTCGGACTGATCAGCATTTTCCTTTGATCCTGGAATCGACCTTGGGGACCACTGGCATCTGATTCTAGCTATTCTGAATTTCTAGGCCTCTACGCAATTCAGAATTAGAAATCCCTGTTCTCTTGCTCAGACACCTGGAGCTGCCTATCCTGAGCTGGCTCACCTTAATTTGAGAACTTTTAAAGATATAGCTGATCTCAGATCTATAGTACAGGCTGGTGTGGGAGTTCTTAAATTTTCTGACCCTTCCCCCCAGAGCCTCCAAAGACCCAGGTGACCCGCCACCACAATCGCCATGTCCCTGAGGGAGAGGTCACACTGAGGTGCTGGGCCCGGGGCTTCTACCCGGCGGACATCGTCCTGACCTGGCAGCGGGACGGCGAGGACCAGACCCAGGACATGGAGCTGGTGGAGACGAGGCCTGCGGGGGACGGGACCTTCCAGAAGTGGGCGGCTGTGGTGGTGCCCTCCGGGGAGGAGCAGAGATACACGTGCCGAGTGCAGCACGAGGGGCTGCCTGAGCCCCTCACCCTGACATGGGGTGAGCACGGGCATCAGAGGGGCCTCCTGTCAGGGAAAGTGGGGGCACCTCTGAGCACCAACAGGGTCAGGGTTCTTCACGATCTGTTCTCTTTCCAGAACTGTCTTCCCAGTCCAGCATCCCCATTGTGGGAATAGTAGTTGGCCTGGTTCTCGCAGCTGTGATCATTGGAGCTGTGATTGGATATGTGATCCGGAGGAAGAAGTGCTCAGGTAGGGACGGGGGTGGAAGTAAAGTTTGATTAGGGATTTACAGTCTCCTGCCCCTTCCTGGGAGGCAACCTGTGTACAGGAGTCAACCCAGGGGGCAGCGGGGTGGGGGGGGGGGCAGTGTGTCAGCAAGGACTCTTTTAGGAACACATGTGAAATGAAGGCAAATCTTGTACATTATGCTTTCTTCTTGCAGGTGAAAAAGGAGGGACCTACTCTCAAGCTGCAAGTAAGCATGTGGGAGGGGGGCTGCTCCTGAGACCCCTGGGGTGGCAGAGAAGAAGCCCATGGAAGAGCCCTAGCCCATTATTCCTCTTCTCCTGGCCTCATCTCCTCTGGGCTCAGACCGGATCTTGTTTCTGTCTTCTCCAGGCATTAACAGACAGAGCTTGGATGTGTCTCTAATAGCTTCTAAAGGTGAGACCCCGCGACGCCAGACATCGGGAAGGTTGGCCAGAGGGGACATACCTGAGTTCGAGGGTTCTTGAGTTTGGACGTTTTGAGATTACAGTGGGCTATCAGAGAGTTGGAACACTTATAGTCATTGACCTGGATTTATTCTTGATTCCCCCCCACCCCTTTCTAGCATGAAGCCGTGCATTGTCTGTGGCAGAATGACTTACAAAAGTTGTTCACACCCACTTTGTGATTCCAGAACCTGGACTTCTCTTTCTGCAACCGGTGTTTGAGTGTGTCTGCACGCCTATCAGGATAATGCAACAGTGTGGTCAATTAACTCCCACACCTCCACACCCACACACACATCAGGACCCCACCCCACACTGACCTGTGTCCCCTCCCTGATCGAGGTCTTCTATCTCTGCTGAAGGGCTCCATCCCTGATGTAACCCCCTACACGCTGGGCTGCATGTCTCACTTTTCTATTTAAAATGAAAAGAAAATGTTTTAAAATGATGATTGTACTGCTTTCTATGAATGCACTAGTGGATTGTATGATGTGTGGATCAAGGCCCAACAAAAGCGCTTTAAAAAGTGAGAACCTGAGAATGTATTTTACTTACCATGAGGTAGGGTTGATGGATTCATTACGAGGGAGAACATTTCTGAAAACTTTGAGAGAGGACATAGAACAAACCTACGAATGTTCCAGAATGCATGTGTTCTCTGTGTCGAGTCTGCCATGAAAGACAGTGGTGGAGGATTCAAGCATGGATGGCACCTTTGCCAAGTCACTTCTCAGGGCCACGTGTGCTTTAACATGGTCACATCTCTGTTGTCCTTGTCCCTCCCGTGTAATCTTGTCCCAGCAGGACCTGTGATGTCTGGCACAGAGCTATCTCCTGGCCTTTTCCTGTCTCCAATTCTATGGGTGCAAGGGTGTTGTGTGGCTGGGTCAGCTGAGCTCAGGCCTACGTCTACCTACTGGTTTCCACCATTTGCATGATTCTTTTTTGTGCATTTGCTATTATAGATGACCGTGACTTCTCTAAGGGGCCCCAGCACTGCTCCTGGGTAAGTGTTGACATTCACCATAGAGGTCAATGATTCACATCCATCAGTTGCTCTGTGGGAGAACCGTGGGACTGTCCGCTCCAGTAAAGGCACACGGTCCCAGAGAGACAAAGAGTTGCCATGAGTCAGAATTCACTTTTTTGGGGAGTGGGATTCCTACTCTTACTCTTGTGTATGATGTTTTCTGGTCTCATCATTAGAGGGTGACAGCCCTCTCTGGCAACTGATGGAGTCACTTTACCTGTCATTAACCCATCAAAGCCCAGGGTATTCCCTGAGCACAGACATTTCTGTGGTAAGGAGTTGAATTTTCAAGGCTCCTGCAGATCCTGCCCTCTTTCTAGGATGTGGCGAGAGAGGAAAAATCAAACACTTTTACATCTTAGATGAATTTCTGTAACATTTCCCTTCTTTTCAGCTCACACACCCTGTCACTCCATTATCTTAACACAGCGATTCATATAGCAGAGGCTAATTTGTAACAGAGGAGCCACAAGCCAAGAAACCTTATTAGGTGGAGACTGAAATGAAATTATATAGCAGGGGCAGGAGGGGGGAGGCAGCAGCCCTTGTGAGAGCAGCCCAGGTGGCATGAGTGTCCATAGAGGGGATGTGGGGCTGCAGCTGCCACCAAACAGCATTTGGTCTGAGGCCACGTTGTAGTAGCTCTAGGAAAAGCTTAATAAGCTTTGACAAGAGTGAGGCCATTTTGAGCTGACAGAAGCCATTATGAACTATAAATGAGCTAGCTATAAACTATAAATGAACTAGCTGATATTAGGGAGACAGGCTGTGCTGATAAGTGCAACGGACTGTGCCAAAGGAAATGTTTGTTCAGAAGGCTTGGATGTTGAGCAATTATTGTTCAACTAAGAGTAGTTATTGTCTGACTAAAAATGGCTAACTTCAATATCGTGCTTCTGTACTCTGCTTGCTTGCGAACCTGCAGGTTGCGACAGCATAAAAACCTTTGGAAAAGTAAACGGGACACCACTCAGTCTCTTCTCAAGAGGGCTGACGGTGCCTGTGCAGGAAATAAAACTTTTTCTTTTAAACTTGTCGGCGGTCTGGGTGGTTTTCTTTCTGGGAACGGACAGTAGGCTGCAACAACATGACTGAAGACACAATTTGTAGAACAGGGAGGTGCTCTGCCTGGCACTCATGGTGCATCCTTATCTCACACACACACACTCTCTCTCTCTCTCTCTTTACACCTGGGAAAATTGCTTACCTGTGGAGTGTAGGTTTTAGCAGTGAGAGGTAGATTATAGGTGTGGGAAACCATAGAGATAGATTATAGGACCTGGAAGGAGGTGTACGTGGTCTGCTGCCAGCACTCATGACTACAGGGCATGACATGCCATCCCTAGCATGTGGCATGTCTCCACAGTCCCAAATATGGGCAAAACCTCCATACCCAATATTCCATGAAGGCTGTTTCTCCACAGCACATCTGCGCCCCATAGATGCTTCAATAATGTTGTCTCCTACAGATGTCAGACACCTCACATAAGCAGTTCAAGGTTGCTTATCTCAAAGAATATTTGCTCCTCCTTTTGCTTATCTTAAGGAGCATTTGCACCTCTTGTCTCTTGTATGGTGTGTACTCCCATTGAAGAGTTCCCTTTGAAGGCTTGGAATACCAGGTTGAATACATTGCCAATGTGTTTGATGGATACCTCCTGAGAGGCTTGCATGCCTCAAGAGGTATAAAAACCTATTGCTGAATCAACTCTGGGCTCTTCTTCCTCTCCTTGCTTCTCCTGAGAATGGAGCTGAGTCCCCTGAACCCCTTTTCTGTCTTCTTTAATTGGGCACATCACCCTGCAGGACCGTTCAACCGTGGGGCTGGGCCTGTCATATGGGGTATTCATTTCCATGTTGCTATAACAAAGTGCACAAACCTAGTGGTTAAAAATAATACACGTCTATAATCTTATAGTACTTCAGCTCAGAACTTAAGGCTGGGCCCACAGAGCTGTGCTCCATCTGGAAGCGCTAGGGGAGCATCAGTTTTCCGACCTTTTTCATCTTGCAGAGCCTGCCTGTCTTGGCTTTAGCACCCTCCTTCCATTTCCATCTTCCAAACAAGCAGCTTAGAGTCTCTTTTCTGACACCTGATTCTGTCCTTGCATCCTCTTTGTAGGACCTTGGCCTTCCTGCCTCCTTCTCATATATTCTCTGTGATTATATCATTGGGTATTCAAAAATCATTACCGATCTTGTATCCCAAACTCAACCACATCTCAAAAAGTCTCTTTGGAATACAATGTAACATTCACAGGTTCCAAGAACTAGAACACGGACCTCTTTGGTAAGCATTGTTCAGCCTACACAGATAGGAAGTAAGGAAAGCGTTTATGTTGGAAGATGCTAAGTGCTGTGGACAAGGTGACCCCAGGGTGGGTGTGTGGGAAGAGGGAAGACAGCTGTTTGAATGTGGGTGGGCAGCAAGGGTCTCATCAGGAAGTGACTTGTCAGGAAAGGTTTGACGGACATCAAAGAATTAGCCATGAGGATGTCTGGTGAGCTTCTGTCTCCAGGCAGGGCAACGTCCAGGGCAAAGGCTCCAGGGTAGGGTGGTGTCTTTTCTGGCAGCAGCCAGGAACCAGTGTGACTGCTGCACAGCCACGCAGATGAGGTCAGAGGCTGAGCCAGAGAATGTAGTAGGGACTGGAAGGGTTTGGGCCTATACAGTGGAGGAGTGTGAGATGAGGAATTTCAATACACTGTTGAATAGAATAGAGACATAGTGGGGATTCTCTCTTTAAATAGATCACTCCTGTGTCTCCATTCAGAATTGAGAGGTGAGGGGTGAGCATGACACTAGGAGTTCGGGAAGTGAAGTGTTTGTTTTCCCTGCACATGAGCCGTAAACATAGTGGCAAGTGATTGGATGATGAATATATTCTGAGGGAGGGATTTGCAAGATTTCCTGATGGGTTGGATTTGAGGCACAAGAGAGAAGAGTCAATGGAGACTACAAATGGTTTGGCGGTGTGAATGGAATCAGCCGAGGGGGGCAGGCTCTGGGAAGAGCATGCTGTTGAGCTGTCACAGGCACATGCACTCTAAGGAATGGTGACTCAGAGAGGTCTGTTGAAAATGGGATTGAGATGGCCCAGTTGTCAGCTGAACATACACCAGTCTGAATAGAAGTAAAATTGTTGAGTAGAGAAGTGGACATGGGAGGTGACGCTACCTAAATACTATTGATAACCTTGAAAAGAGATGTGATTGACTACCCATTAACGACTGATATTCCCATAAGTGAATAGTTCATTATCAAAGAAAACGGAACAAAAGCTGACCCAGGATCCTCCAGGGCAAAGTGATCTGATCTCACTTTACATCAGAACAGAGTCCAGAGCTTTGACATCACATTCAGAGGCCCTCAGCTCAGGAATTCCCAAAATTCCCATGCACAGACTCACCTGGAAATCTCACTAAGAGTCAGACAGTCTGTCCTGGCACTTGTACTCTGGCCATTGTCAGCCACACCAGGATTGGATGTGGAAACCACGAAGTGAACTGGGATTTACTTCAAGCTTATCTTTGGCAGATTTCTGGAAGCCAAATACTCCCTTGTACTTAAAGCTGAAACTCCCTAGTGTGGAGGAAGCAGATGACTAGTCCAAGTTCATGGGATTGGTGGTATTTGGACTTTGGTTGGGATGACTTGCTGTGAGGGTGCCCAATGAACCGTAGGCGGGAACAGCCATATATTTATTGTTTTCATGCCCTCCCTGCTTTCTTATGGCATGTATTCATCTTGAAGGGATGGGTCTGCCCTTGGGAATGAGTGTTGTTGAAAGTATTGACCATCGCCAACCCCATTTGTTTGTACCTAATGTCCAGTCACTTAAAAGTCTCATCTGTATAAGTCAACAATTTACGTGTTAGAGTCTGAAGTTGGCCTATACTTGTATAAGGTTCTTTTCTTACCAGTCTTTTCAATTCTACACCATGGGCTAAATTAATGACACCCTCAGTAGAATTGCCATATGCCCAGAGGGATGATTTATAATGATCTCGGTCATAAAACGATGGCTCTAATGTGAACCAGACATATATTTAAATCATAAACACACACACAAATAGATTTGAAGTTTCCACTTAATTCTCGCCTCAATCTAAGAACAATTAGTTCTGAGGGCATCGCCCTGCTTGATGCTTGCCCTCATGAAGAGATGGCTGCATACATGGGTGCTGTAGCAAAGTGTGGGGAAGAAACCAGATGGTGTCTGACTAGCAGAAAGAATGAAGGCTTATCTTAAAACAAACAGCCATCTAAGTGAGGTGTCAGCTTAATCTACATACAGAAATATACCAGCCTATGTGAGGCAAGAATTACAAATAAGGAAACCCTAAACTGAAGAAGGGAATAGCACCCGAGTTTAAATTGTGAATCCCAGTTTTGCAGAAAGTGTGACAGTGGACACCCAAAATCCATTTGCAGCATCCACACATGGATTAAGTCTTCTTGCAGTCATATAGCATTACACAGTCCATTTTGGCAGACGTAGTTAGGTCAAACTAATACTTTATCATTTGATCTTGCTTTTGAATCAGTTTAAAGTTTTTTCCATTTTTAATATTTTCTGCTTTCTTTTTAATGGAGGTTTTCCTGTGTTTTGTCTAGTCATTGCTGTTGGATGTGTTTTTTCTTTCCGGTGTGTATTTTCTATGATATTCTGTATAGAAATCCAAGCTATGTAGCTCTATAGAGACAGTAACTGGATAGGGGCATGGAAGGGGAGGATGGGCAAAACAGGGGCTAATAATGATTATGAGAAGAAAATGTTCTGAAATGTATTGTGATGATTTCACAAATATTCTTAATATGATTGTAGGATTAAAATGGATGATGTGTGAAGTCTAGGGCAATAAAAATTATTTTAACAAAGATACCTTATCTGCTCTGTAAACCTTCATGCAATTAACAATATAGAAGTCGGGGGGAAAGATGCCGAAAGTCTGGAGCAGAGCATGAGATTCTGTGTTGCTAACGAGGTTGGTGCTGCTGCTGCTGCTCCTCAGATCACAAGAACGTAGACCGGGGGTTCCACCATGACTGTGCATCAGGCTCATCTGGGGGACTCGATAAGGCAATTATTTCTGGGCTTGGGCCCCATATAATGAGGTGCTTGATCTGGTGAGGGGGCTGAGTGTGTTGTACCAAGTTCCAAGTTCTTCTTGTGCACAGCCAGATATGGAACCACGGAGGACAGGCATGAGAGTAGCACCCAGAGTGGTGGAGTGTTGTAAAACCAAACATTAAGTGGGTTCCCTGCCTTTTCAAAATAATTTTTTTACAAAAAGAAAAACCAAAACTTACTGCCATCCAGTGGATGTCCACTCATAGGGAACCTCTAGGACAGAGTAGAATTCTGCCTCTGTGTGTTTCCAAGATTGTAACACTTTTGTTCTTTTTTAACTCAGAAGCACGTTTTTATTCTTTGATATATAAAACCAGGAAGTTTTTAATCCACACACAGTGAGTTTGTTAGATAATGGCACAGGCCAGATCAGGGTCTAGAAACACACCCAAGCCAGAATCATGAACAGGTTTCAGAGGAGCCTCTTTTCTTTCCTTATAGAAAAGAGTCACCTCTGCTTCACAACTCAAAGCAGTAAGAAATATAACTTTCCTTCCTGGTATTCAAGCAGATGCTAAGAAAACCAGCAATAACTTAGTAAAAGGGCCTTTTGTTTGTGGCAGTAACTCAGCATTCGTTTTGGTTCCATAATGCTTGTCTGAGTAAAAGAGGCATCTTGGTGTCCTCAGGGGAAGTTGCTGTTACCCCTTGGCAGGGGCTCCTTGGTTTGGGGAGCATCAGTGCAGCACCTTCCCGCTTGCTTGTTGGAGTAGCGAGCAGAGTGCAGGCACCACAATTACTCAGTCACAGCTATTTATTCCCAATAGCTGTTTCACAAAAGGGAAAAAAAAAAAAGGCTTTTCACTGAATGAATTAAGGGAAAAAATGAAAAGGTTGACCCCGGAGTTTTCTGTCCTGTGAGCTCCTGACACAGTGCAGTGCGCTCTGGGAGTGTCTACT